GTGTAGTGGTCTCACCTCTCCTGCCTGCCTGTGCACCATCCTCACACCAGACCCAGTACCCAGTGAACTTCTCATGAACTGCTGTGGTGACAGAATTGACAACAAAACATCCAAGACTTTGGTCATACAAGGTCAGTTAGGAATTCTAACAGAAATATGCAAACCAGTATGGGTATTATTCATCATATGAATCCAGCAATCAAAGGAACCAGCTCAGTCTCACTCTGAAGACTGAAACCAGAGTGAAAGGGATCAAGATTTTTCCAGGGTCATAAATCTACTTTCCCTCCATAAATCCCATGCTACTTAAAATACAACTAAGGAAAATCTACTTTAGCCTAATCCTATTTAAACCCAACCTGACCCGGTCTCCCAGAAGCATTATCAAATAGTCCTGTGCACAGAATGTTTCACAAGCTTTCTTGGGAACTCACGGTACAGTCATCGTGCACCTAACTTCTCACTGATCCAATAAAGAAAATTCAATCAAATATAAAAATGTTTTCCACTCAAGGAAAACCCTAATAAAAAAATGACACAGGCTGGGTGGGTTTTAAACAATATATATGTGTGCTGTGGTAAAGAGTAGATGTACAAGAATGAGGGATGGTGAATTAAATTGATTTCCTTTTTCTCAGATCTGTGCTACAGTCTCACTCATACTACCACGTGAAGATTCACAGTGGGACTTCTATCTCTTTTGCTATTATTTGAAAATATATTTAAAAGGCAAAAATACTAGACACAGGCATTTTAGGTCTCCAAAAGTGAAAGAGCTGTAGGCACATTTCTTCACCTGCATGCTTACCACGCAATAGCTTGGCAAATGCTTTCTGCTTCCAACACCTCTCACAAGATTATGCCAACAAGGTAACAAACATCTTCACCAAAAGGCTTTCAGACAACAAAACCCATTAATTACCAGTCAAGACTGCTGTCAGTGAAATCTGAAAATAAACCAATAAAGGGAAGTCCAAATAAACATCTCTAAATAGGCCCAAATTAATTTAATGACACCTTTCAGACACAGGATAAAGGGACTGAGAGGTAAGACTGCAGTGGAAACATGAAGCTGACAAAACTTCTGCAGTGAGCAGGGCCCCATACTGAATCATGGCTTCAGTTTACCTTTTCTTTTTTTTTTTTAATTATTTTTTTATTTAATTATTATGGCACTTAGGAGCAATAGGAAGATTCTAAAAACACAGGGACCAGGAAAAGTTTTAAGTGTCTTCCCATAGTGCTCACTGCTCTATCAAAATAAACTCCTGGTAAAATCCCCATACAAAGCATTTAAAAAGTATTCATTTTTCCCTGCCCAAACCAAACCATGCTGAAGATGGCTGGACACAGAGGAGGGTAAAATAAGCTCAGACACGGCCACATTGCACAGCAGCTTAGCTAGTGATTCTGCATGCAGCTAAGGTGTCTGGAGTCCAATTAGGCAAGTACATTTGGCTACTATGCAGTGACTCTAACTCCTTCCCTGGATTTTAACATTTTCATGAAACACGGCAGTCTTGGTGGTTAATTTAGCAAATACGGCTCTGGTCTGTCAATAGAGAAGATCATGCTACACTGCTAAGTGGCACACACAATTCCCTCAACATTTTTAAAAATAATCCCAAACACATGTAACTATTAAAAACACAAACAAAATGAAAAACTTGATCCACAGTCACAGTGATACAACTGAGAAATGTCACCTGTGCATGGATCAAAAATAACATCACAGAGCATTGGTAGTTATTTAGCACTTACAGGCATCCCAGTGGGAACTTGAAAGGAGCAGGGTTCTGGAAGTTCCTTCTCTTGACACAGGTCATGAGTAACCTGTAAAATGCCTATGAAGAGGGAGGCACTTCACCCTGCAACCCCCTCAGACACCTTGTCAGTTAACTGACACCTAACCTGCCTTGGACTGAGACTCATCACACAATAATTAGAGAAACAAAGAATATTGAGTTGGAAGGGATTCACAAGGATTACCGAAGTCCAACTACTGGTCTACCCTGCATTGCTTGTGCTTAGGTGCAAGAGTAGATACAATCATCCCATTTATTTTTTGTTTTCTTTCCATAGTGAATAAACCTCAGACTGGGAGAAGCAAGCCTACTGCTGCTTGGAAATAAATGCTGGTGAACTGGCTGTGGATACAGTGAGAAAAGGAAGAGCACCACAAGGGGGTTTAATGAAGACACAGATACCTCACTAAGGCAGTTTGAGCTGAAGTAACACTCACTTGAAAAGCCCATCTTCCAACAGTGCTGCAATACTGGCCATGAGCTTACAACAGAAACACACACTGAAATGGTCATTAAAAAAAAGAATTTGGCATCTGCATCTTACTATCTAGTACAAAAGACAACTCCTTCAGGAAGCTATAACAGTAGAAATTTCAACTATCAACTTTTTCTTAATATAGTAGTTTATCTATGCAAATAAAAGTCAAGCCAGTGTTCTTGGTTACTACTGTAGGTGTTGATTCTTGCATTTCAGTACTCCCATCTTTACCACTATTTTCATTTAATTTACATCAAATCACAGACTGCTGATTTTCTGCTATTTTGCATCCTACAGAACTCAATTCTTCATACTGTTAGAGATCAGTCTTTGGTTCAGCTATATTAGGCTGTGCCCTTTCAAGCAGAAATGGCCACAGTTACTCAAACATCCATCTACAG